AAAGAGATCTTTTCTTCCATAAAACTGTTTCTTTAAAGCTTTTGGTCATGACAATACATATATGACTAACATATAACCAAGTACTGAAAGTAATCTCATTCTATCTCTGTTAGCCCATATCACCCCTCTAAATGGCTATCAAAGAAGGCCTGTTCTGTATGTACATACTTGGAAAAATAAACAGTCTAGACTGATTGGTCTTTGAGGCTACTTTTTTTTTTTTTTTTTAATAAGGAAAAAAACCAACTTTGGTTCTATGGAAAAGTGAGGGAGGTCAAACATTATGGGGTTGACTTATCAGTGTTTAATAACAGTTTCTGGATCAAAACTCTGTAGAACCTTATTTATGGACAGACAGTTACTGAGAAGCGGGGCCATTTTCTACAACCTTTTCATCTGAGAATGTTGTAGCTCTCCGCTGCGTTTCTGTTAGTGAGAGATGGGGTGTGAAATTTACTGAGTCTGCCAAGATTATCCCATTAAATTATCTGCTCTCTTCCAATGTAATTCACTCAAGAGCAACAGCTTGAGCCCTGGGACCCACGGATGACCAAGCCTGGGTGTTCTTGGGGGCAGTGTGGGGGCAAGGCAAGGGGTCAGGTGGTGTGGGACATCCCAATGACATCACATCCACCGCGACTCATTGCCTTACCAAAATAAAGTGGATGCCACAATTATCCCATTCCTAAACAAACTGAAAACCCCAACCAAGCTTACTGCAGCAAAGAGTGAGCCTTTCTCCTGCTGTTTATTTTTATTTTGTATTCGTTAGCTTTTGAGATATTCCTGGCATGCAAGTCAGGCTCCATGTAACAGGCAGCTGCATTTAGTTAAAGATTTTTGAAGCCGTCCCCTCACCCTTCCCCCCTTCAATCGCAGAACTTTCTCGGAGTCCCAGAAGACTGTTCCTTTCTCCTCCTGCACGTCCAGAGACCCATCTCCACTGTCATAACCCAGAGATTCAGTGAAGCCAGGCCCAGGACTTTCTGTTGGAGAAAGCCCCTGGAAGAGTCAAGTTGTTTCCAGCTGCAGCTGGACCTGCCTGGATCAGCTCCTTACTGGGACCCTGAGCTGGCAGTCAGTTCTCCTCCTAGAGAGCACTCTACTAAATCAACCCTCCTCCACTTCCACCCCTGGTAACGACCGAACTGCAAATGCACACATACTCCATCAAAAGACATCCCATCGCTCACTGGAAGGAGCTACCAGACACACTCCTCAAATCGCAGCAAAGTGGCATTACCACGATGCAAAATGCAATTCTTTTAGACCGAGAGGCCCTGGCCAGCCCCAGCACTTGCAGTCTGTCTCTACTAACAGCAAGACTGGTGGAAGCAGCCATGGCCCTCTAGGTGATGGCAAAGAAAACATTTCTCCACTGCCCTTAAAAAAACGTAAGGAAGCACCACCTCTGCCCCAGGCGTTAAAAGAAGGCAATTATAAGAACCAACCCAGGAGAGACTGTGTAGGATAGAGGTCAGTTCTGATAACCATGGCAACTCTCGGGGCTTACAAGCCCAGCAAAGCCATCCCCTGGTCATGTGACCTTGAGAAAGCAACTTCACCTCTCTGTGCCTCACCTGACCCAACGAATTAGTTATATGGTTGTCCTCACAAGGTAACGGTGAGAGCTCCGAGGGGTAGTACTAACGGAGGCTTTCGAGAGCCACTAACCCATTTCTCTGAAAATAGACATTTATATCAGTGTACTTAGGGTTTAAAGGAATCGGCTCTTGCCGGGCGGTGGTGGCGCATGCCTTTAATCCTATCACTCGGGAGGCAGAGGCAGGCGGATCTCTGTGAGTTCGAGGTCTACAAGAGCTAGTTCCAGGACAGGCACCAAAAACTACAGAGAAACCCTGTCTCGAAAAAATTAAAAAAAAAAAAAGAATCGGCTCTTCTGAATATACTGTGTACATTTTTTTAAAATATCTGAAATAGTGTAGGTGCTTTTGGATGCAAGTGGCATGTGTTTAGAAACACTTGAAAAGTTGAATTTAGAGCCCATTTTCACACACAGGAGACAGAGAATACAATAGATCAAAACTGAGTTTTTGAAGGAATCTTGGTCTTGGGTCTTGGGGGATGACTCAGTCAAAAACAAAACAAACAAACAACAACAAAAAACCCACAAGTGCCTGTCATGCAAACATGAGAACCCGAGCTCAGATCCCCAGCCTTCAGGGAAAAGCTGGCCGTGCACATATAAACCCCAGGCATAGACAAAGAGATCCCTAGAGCCCATTGGCCATCCAGCCTAGGTGGGTGGATGACCTCCAGGTTGAGTGAAGAGAGATCATGTTTCCAAAAACAAGGTGGAAATTGAAGAAGACACTCAACACTGACCTCTGGCTTCACAGGAACATGCATGTGCATATGTGCATGAACCCACAGAACCACATACATACATACATACATACATACATACATACCCTATGCTGCTCACTTGCCTACAACAGTAAAATAAAACAACTCCTAAGTATTAGATAATACCTCCTATGGACATTAGAGGAGCAAAAAATAAAACAAATCACTAATAAATGAACCCTGCCAGAGGCTGCCCGACCACACCCCTTACCTACCCTGCCTCTGGGGTGCCACCTAGCCATCGAGGTCAGATTTTTCAAGCATCCCTAATAAAAGCTGAGGCTGACTTGGGCCTTCAATGTATTCATTCACCAACAAAGCTGTCAGGCCCGTGACCCTCAAGAGACTCCTACTCTAAATACAGTAGGGACAGACCCCTACTGATATGGCAGTTGGAGACTTGGAAAATAACGGCAGAGTCTTGGGACGTCTCCCTCTGGCTTCAAGCAGCCAAGACACAAAATGAGCAGGATTCTGAGAAAGGATGAGGTAGGTTCCAATGACCGGGAGCTCTGTCTACAGAGGTTCAGCTTTGCAAAGGTAGGAGGCAGGCCAGAAACAACGCATGTGAAGGCTTCCTCCTCCCTGCCAATCAAAAAGGAAAGTGATGGGAGAAATATTGATCCACCTTTTTTTTTTTTACAATGAAATAAATAAAATATACGCCACGCTCCCCCCCCCCCTTACACTGATCTCCTGAGCCACTGACAGGGTTACCTTAGAAACCTCAGGCAAGAACAGACGTCAAGAGTTTACAAAAAAAAAAAAAAAAAAAAAAAAAGGAAAGGGATTTAAGGGATGGTAAGAGAGCAACAGGTTTGAGCCCATTATTAGGAAATAGAACAGGAATAGGCAAAATGAACTTTCTAACATTTGAAAGCCCACAATTAATTAAAGGCAGGGGGATTTGGGGAAGCTGCTGATAATAGTATAGTTTTACACGTGAAAATTCATTGTGTGGATGGTTATTTAAAAGCAGATGACCAAAAAGGAAGAGCAACCCTACATTCGAACCCCCAACCCCATCCCCACCAGCAGAGGCCGTCACCTAAAAAGCACTGGCTATTGTAAGGGTAAGAGCAAAAGGAGCCCACGGGAATGGTGCAATTAATCACGGGTGCCGTGCCAGGAACCCAGCCTTACTTAGAACCACCCCCCAGTTGTGCTGGACCATGGACCTCAGGAGAATGTTTACATCGGGTCAGCAGCACGGCCCATTTTCTTCTTTACATCCAGGTGTAATGGCACAGAGCCAGATGTTTGGCATCACCAAGCAAAACAGCCATGAGACCAAACTGTTTATATTTCATCAGTGTTTCCAAAAAAAAAAAAATCCTGCTGAGGTGAATCTTAATGACAATTAGAAGCTGTATTCACACACACACACACACACACACACAGCTTTGAGGTTAGCGCAAACGCACTTCAGAACTCTGCTCTGTGAGTGCTGCTCCGGTCCCAAAGTCATCTTTAGGAGATCAAAATCCGCACCCAGCTTCCTTGCAGAGTGCTCTGTACAAAGAAAGTCACCCCTAACTCTCAGTGAAGACGAAACCGGCAGTCAGTCAGTGAATGGATCTTTTCCCAGCTGTTAAGTAAACTAGACTCTTCTCTCACTGGCTGAGAGATGACTGACAGGAGACTTATTTATCTACAGAGGCTTGGGACTGGAAGTGTGGGCGGGAAGAGTCCCAGCCCCCCCCCCCAAGGGATGCATGTTAAAAGTGAGGCCCAAGACCCCCGGAGACTTTAATCAACTTTCCCCCTCCAACCTCCAAAGAATGAATTGGTTGTCTCCACTGGCACAGCGGGTTCTTCGCTCTCATTGTGTACCGGCTCAGACCCAGCAAGGATCCAAGCTTCCCGCTGGGAACTAAGACGCTCTGGCTGACGGTGGAGTTTTTCTCTAACTGTTGCCATTATCTCTGGAGATGACCAAAATCAAGTATGCATTAGATGGCTCCCCCTTCTCTCTCTCTCTCTCTCTCTCTCTCTCTCTCTCTCTCTCTCTCTCTCTCTCTCTCTCTCTCACACACACACACACACACACACACACACGTGCACACCCAGAGCACTTTGGAGCAGTGGGCCTCCTCTGACTGCTTATTTTGCACAAAGTGGTAGTGGCGGAGCAAACATTTTGGCCTGCAGAGTGACCCTCTGCAGGGCGGGAGGCTCTGAGCGCCAAGCCGTGGAGATGCGAGGCCGACGGAGTCCCCGGGAGCACAGGGCTTTTGTTTGAGCGGGTTCGCGGACAGCCTGAGCTCAGTCGGAGGCACTACTGGAGATGCAAACTCTCTCCAAGACAGAGAAGTGGACAAACTGGACCCCAGCTGGGGTGCGCTGGGAATCCAGGGAGAGATAAGCAGAGGACCAGCATCACCCCCATGACCCCTTCAATTCCTTCTATACTTCCTGTCAGCGCTGACAATCGTGGCTGACACCGAGGACCAGTACCCCAGCACACCGCAGCCTGCAACCATGTCCAGTTGCAGTTCATGGCCAGTCCTTGCTGGCCTCCTGCAATCGGTGCTGGAGGCGGCCAAACGCCCTGCTCCCGGGTGGGCGAGGCGCTTGTCCGCCACCCAGCTCTGCGGGACAGACCGTGGAACCCGGGCGCGGGCGCCGCTTACCTTGGGCAGCAGCCCCGCGTGTGGCCAGCAGCAGCGCGGCCAGCAGCGCCAGCGGTGGCGGGCGCGTCCCGCGGTGGCGCGGCCGGTGCATTCCTCCTCTCGTGGCGGCGGCGGTGGCTCCCTGGCGGCGCGCAGAACATCCACGGGTTCGCCCTGGGCTCCTGACCACCTCGTCACGCCCACAGGCACTCGCAGAATACCGGGGGGGACCTTTGCAAAGCTCTTTGTCCCTCTGACCTGCTCCCTCCGCCTCCGCCCGGCCGCCTCGGACCCGGGAATGCGGTTTCTCGGGGTACTCGGAAGCAGCCCTGCCACGGCCAGCCGTTCCGTCCCAGGCTGTCCCGGTCGCTCTAGCGCACCGTGTGTTCCCGGCTCCGACTCTAGAAGACCGTGCCCAGTGCCTGGAGTTGCGGACTCTGGGCTCACTCGGCGGCGGCTCCTCCAGCTCTCCGCGAACGCTCTTCTCGCCAAACTTGTCACTTTCCACCAACTCTACAACCCAGAGCCCCAGCCCGGACCAATGGCAGAGGCGGGCCCAGGCTGGGGTCCCAGCGCCCTCTGCTGCCGCCTTCTGGACCCGCACCCTCCAGTGCATCCCAAAAAGCAGCCCTTGCACCTCCCGCAGGCCCAACATCCCTCCCCTCCCCCACTTGCTTGGGACCAGTCACTGATGTTGACCGGACCCTTGAGACCTCTTAAGAAAGAAGGACTTTGGGGGGGGGGGGGACTTCCAGCCCAATGTGTGATTGGATGACTTAGGAGACCCAGATTGTAGCCGTCTTGCTATGCCACTGTTTAACTATGGCGTTTGGTGAGGGGATATGTACCCGAAGTATACAATGCCCCTTTGATTTCTTCCTTCCCAAGAGTTGCTGAAGAGGGAGTCCTGACACAAACCATTCTGACTCCTGTGTCCTTTTGTTTTTAATCCCTAGGCGCACTACTTTAACATCCCGCTCATCTGTTCTGTTTCTCTGGGGACACGAACAGAAGATTCCTCTGGGTCCTTTATTGTCACTGTCTCCAGGTGTCCCGAAAGGGGTTTCTCTGCCTTCCAAATATAAACATAGGGTACTATGTCAGCTCGATCCTTTTTATTCCTGTTGTGTCACTTAGGTATTCCGTTTCTTTGAGTAAGGTGTGTTTTTCTTGCTCTGCTCTGGTTTGGGTGAGTCTTTAAACCTCCTACTTACGGTGTTTTTATCCTTTTCTACTGGGCTGTCAGTTATTAACTTTGTAATTCATAAATGCTCTTAGTGTTCCCCTGCAGAGAATACCCGGGATCACATAAAATGAGCACCCACTGCGTCCTAGGCCCTAATGCTTTAGGTTCCAAGGATGCCAGTAACTAAGGCCCCTTAACAGTATTGTCCTCCAGAACATAAAGATGCTCAGACCCTGCCAGTGATCACATGACCACTTACTAAGTATTTCCTGTTTGCCTGGTGCTTTATATGCACTGAAACTTTTTAAGTCACTAAAACTAAACTGCATGTTACTTTGCTTCATTAAATATATTACTTCCCGGATTACAATTTTTAAAATTGGTGTGCAGAAAGAAAGTGAATGGCTTGTCCACACTCTCTATCGACCATGGGTGGCAAAACAATATCCAGATCCATTCCCATGAGCGGACTAAATGATTTTAACCCGAACCTGGCATGTTATAATCTTTTTGTAAATGGGGCTAAAGTGGATCAATATTGTAGTACTCTCCTGGTCTCAGCTTCAGGATTTTTTTGGTTTTGAGGCAGGATTTCTCTGCAGCTTTGGAGCCTGTCCTGGAATTCACTCTGTAGACCAGGCTGGCCTTGAACTCATAGAGGTCCATCTGCCTCTGCCTCCCGAGAGTGCTGGGATTAAAGGTATGCACCACCACCACTGCCTGGCATCTCTGGGGTTTTAAAATGAGCATCACTTGGCTGCAAATAAGAATTCTGTTTCGATGCTCTAAGTGTCCTGGATGCCTCAAACAACTGGAGGACAATAAGAGCTTGGTCTGAGAACAAGAATTAGACCACCATTTGGAGAATTTTCTTGATCTAATTAGTTCCTTGTCTTATTTGTTCCTTGTCTTATTCCGTGGACTTCCTATGTTCCATGGGAAGCAGGCCCCTAAACAGCAGAAACATGGAGGATGAACAGTATATATCCCAGCAGGTCACAGACTCTAAACCTCCAGCTTGGTGCCTCCAGGCAGGTGAACAGCTAGGCCATGCGAACAAATAATCACCTATTCTTTGCTAAGACCGGAGGGCAAGAGCCTGCCCAGCTGCCTTAATAGTTTTCCCTTTTTTTTTTTTTTTTTTTGTGAGTCTGACCTGAGGTCAGGGAATGATAGACAGAAGGGCCTTTGGGTCAAACAGTTCACCCCCACAAACTGGTATGTCTTCCAAGTCTTACCGCTTGTGGCCCACTCCGTCCTGTCTCAATTATCTCTAGTCACTCGCCTGGGGAACGTGCGGCATAAGGCTCTCTTGTTGGGAGAGTGTCTTTGATGGTTGGCTTTAGTGCACTGTGACACAGAAATCAAAGGCGCTCGGTTATCGTGCACAGTGCAGGTGGCCCTCCCTCCATCTGCAGTGTAAGGAGCCATCCAGCCAACGAGGAACCCTTCCTGTTCATTCATGCTGCCCCTGGTCCCCCACCAGACTGGGAGTCTTAGGTAACAGACAGCTGCCACGCCGAGTATACAGAACTTAATGGCGCTTTTATCAGTAGTTAAACCTTCCAGGAACTTAATCACAGAATCACAGACATGTGGAATGTGAGAGCTGGAAGAGGCCTTGGAAATTAACAAGTACGCCCTCCTGGGCATTTTTATTCAAAAGAACCGTGGCACTCAAAAAACGGTAAAAGTCCCCCACTCAAATTCACAAAGCTGGTCAAAAGCATTACCAGGAACCCAGACCAACCAGTCCACGGCTGTATGTAAGCCCACATCAGGCTCTCTCTGGCTCACTCTCTCTACACCCTTGCCTCACATCCCGTGGAGAAAGGTTACGAGCTATTGAAATGTCTCTCCTGCAGGCCTCCTCTGACCCTGGCCTTGTCTGTGCCAAGCCAGTACTGGCACAAGCAGATTAGAGCACACAGGCAAAGTTGGTCTCTTCCCTGGGGTCCCAGCTCAAGCTCTGATCCAAATACCCAGGAAGGTAATCCTCTGCTTTGGGTTCCCCCTCTCTAGCTCAAATTATTACCACTGTGAATACTCAATAATATAGCCTAATATAGCCACAAGCACGGTCAGGTACCACGGGAAGTAAATTTTTAAAAAGCCATAGTTCATTTATTTCCCTTATGATGTTATTGAATAAAAGACCCTTGTGGTGCATTTTATTGGTTTAGTCCAGGAATATAACACTAATTTTCCTTCTTAGAGAAAGTGTATGGCAGGATGGCTCACGAACTCATGAGCTGGGTGATGTAGAATTTAATCCTGCTTCTTTTAGCTGCCTGTAGGAACTTGGGTATAGTATCTCAGTTTTCTCATCAGCAAAAAAAAAAAAAAAATACATTAATGTCTACCATCTAGCTATGCTCTGAACAGTTGATGCTTCCCAAAAGCTTGGCACAATGCCTGTCATAGACTAAGTAGTCACTGTGTGCTAACTGGTTTATTAGTGATTAAGAACATAGGTTTAGTGTGGCACGGACCTAGCCAGATGACCTGAACAAATTATTTAACTTCTTTTTTTTTTAAGATTTCTTTACTAGTGATGTATACAGTATCCTGTCTGCATGTATCCCTGCCCGCCAGAAAAGGGTACCAGATATCACTATAGATGGCCATCATGTGGTTGCTGGGAATTGAACTCAGGACCTCTGGGAGAGCAGCCAGTGCTCTTAACCTCTGAGCCCATTATTTAACTTCTTTAACTCCAGCCCATTATTTAACTTCTTTAGGATATAATATTCTCTTCCAGATAATAGAACTAATTGTACAAAGCAATTTTAGTATAAAAATATTCATTATAAAATATTATTTATTTATTTATTCGAGATGGGATATCATTATGTAGCCTTAGCTGGACTAGAACTCATAATATAGACAATGTTGGCCTTAAATTCACAAAGAACCACCTGCCCTGTTTCCTGAGGCCCTAGAATTAAAGGCTTGTATTACCTACCATACTAGGCTTTCTTTATACAATTTTAAGATCTGTATACTATATAAATTATTACTATTATTCTTTTTTGGCTAAAACTCTTACACTATAAGACAGAATAAGTAGATTAATTTGGTCATATAACTTGAATTCCTAACACAACACTGATGGCATGTATTTTGACCCTCTATCCTTCTGTGTCTATTTGCACATGGACAGAAAAGAATTGTCATCAGAAACACTTAAAGAAGTGTTCGAGGGGCTGGAGCACTTGCTGGGGAAACATGAAGACCTGACTTTGATCTTCAGCAGTCATATAAAAAGCTGGAATTCTGTACAAGCCTGTAATCCCAGCACTGAGGATGGGAATTACGGGTGGGGCTGCAGAGACAGGCAGATACCAAGAGCTCACTGGCCAGCTAGCTCAAAACAGAGAGCCCCCAGTTCGGTGAGAGACCACTTTCAAAATCCAGAAGGTGGAAAGAAAGAGAAGAAGACTTTTGATGTAGAGCTCTGGCCTCCACATGGCACACACAGGGTCATGTGCACCCCATTTGTGCAGAACCACACATGTACTACATACACACAACTCCCAGCACATGCTAAAACAAACAAAAACAAACAAGTACATACAAAAGAAAGCAAAGCCTCTAAGGGCTGTGGATAAAGCTAATCCTGAGCCGGCACAGAATACAGAGTGTAGTGCTTCCAAGGACAAATGTAGGAGGAAGTCTTGGTAATCTTTTATTCCGTGTGAGTTTCTTGACCAAAAAGGCTCAACTTTCAATAGTTTTTAACTGACAAATTTTGCCTTGCAGAAGTCATCACCGGGACTTATGAGATAGTTTAGTGGTTAAGAACACTTGCCTATGGGCTGGAGAGATGGCTCGGTGGTTAAGAGCACTAATTGCTCTTCCAGAAGGCCTGGGTTCGATTCCCAGCATCCACATGGTGGCTCACAGCTGTCTGTAACTGCAGTTCCAGGATACCTGACACCCTCATACAGATATACATGCATACCAGCAAAACATCAATGCACATAAATAAACATTTAAAAAAAAACAGAAAAGGAAATTTAAAAAGAGCACTTTCCTTTCTTACAGAGGAATGGAGTTTTGTTCCCAGCACCTACGTCAGTAAGCTCACAATGGCCTGTAGCTCCAGCTCCAGGGAATCTGACACGCTCTTCTGGCCTCTAAGACCATCACACATGTGTACGTACCCTCACGCTGACACAGAGACACAAATAGCAGAATAAGTCTTCTTTACAACATGTCCATAAAAATAAAAAGAAAGAAAGAAAGTGCAAAGCCTCTGTCTGATGGTGGACTTGTCTCTAGAATACACACGACACACATGGAAACTCCCACAGCTCCAGGACAAGAAGACAAGCCGGCCTTTAAAGCGG